GTGAATTTAACTCAGGTGACTGTTATATCTACCACTGTGGGCAAGAATCCCTTAGAAGAAATGGAGTAGCCATCAAAGTCAACAAAAGAGTCTGAAATGAAGTACTTGGATGCAATCTCAAAAGCAACAGAATAATCTCTGTTCGTTTCCAAGGCAAACCATTCAATATAACGGTAATCGAAGTCTGTGCCCTGACCAGTAATGCTGAAGAAGCTGGAGTTGAACAGTTGTGTGAAGACCTACAAGAACTTCTAGAACTAACACCCCAGAAAGATGTCCTCTTTGTTATAGGGGACTGAAATGCAAAAGTAGGAAGTAAGAGCTACCTGAAATAACAGGCAAATTTGGCCTTGGAGTACAAAACGAAGCAGGTCAAAGGCTTAACAGAGTTTTGCCATGAGAACACCCTGGTAATAGCAAACACCCTCTTCCAAACAACACAAGAGAAGACACTACACATGGACATCATCAGATGGTCAATACCGAAATAAGATTGATTATATTCTTTGCAGCACAGATGGAGAAGCTGTATGCAGTCAGCAAGAAGAAGACCAGGAGCTTACTGTGGCTTAGATCATGAATTCCTTATTGTCAATCTCAGACTTAAATTGAAGAAAGTAGGGAAAACCACTAGACCATTCAGGTATGACCTAAATCAAATCCCTTACAATTATACAGTGGAAGTGACAAATAGATTCAAGGGATTAGATCTGTTAGAGTGCCTGAAGAACTGTGGATGGAGTCTCGTGACATTGTACAGGAGGCAGTGATCAAGACCATCCCCAAGATTATCTTAGACCTCCAGTTTTTTAATTCAGAGCTAAGAGAATGCTCCCAGTCCTATTACCAAAAAAAAAAAAAAAATCAGATCTATATGTGCTGAAATTGAGTATAGGATTGTAAGGTTTTTATTTAATATTTTCTTTTATCTGTGTCTCCTTTCTTGCATATCAGTAATCCTAGTTTCCAGGGACATATATGATGTCATGAAATTACTGTTTTCCTTCATCCTACACAAAATACACATAAAAGTTTCAATAACAATCTCAATACTTTGTATATGACTACAAAGACATTATGACTACTAAAGACAATTAAGCATTTTTAATATGCCTGTTCCTTTCTTTATTTAAAAGTGTATCCATTGTCAAATATGCTATATACATAGACATACATACACACACCATTGTATACTGTACTCTTTCTGTTAAAACCATCACTTAGTTTTACTCCTCCAGTCCTTAAATTGATGCCCCAAGAGGCTGTCTGAAACTTATTTTCCAGTAGATTCTGTATAAAGAACTTGTGAAAACTGTGTTCTCTTGACATCTTGCATGTGGCCTCTATACCTGAAAATCAGTTTGGCTAGCCATAAAATCATATGTCAGATGATTTCATGACAAAATTGCCACTTCAATGATATATTTTTTATTGTATATCAGTTATACCTCAATTAAGTTGTTTAAAAAAATCTTTAGATTGTGATTTTTCTTTAAATACCTTAAATATGGTACTCCATTTTTTTCTAGCATAGAGTCCTGGTGTTGAAAGAAACCTGATTTCTTGTAACTGGTTACTTTTTCTAGATCACCCAAAGGATGCTTCTCTTTCTTTAAAGCATAGTAACTTTATTAGACTATTTCTGGATGTTCTGAGTTGTTCTGGGTTGATTCCGTCAGATGTGTGGTGGGCCCTTTCAATACGTAGTTTCACTTTTTTTAATTTCAGAGAAGTTTTCTTGAACTTTATGTGTTTGTTTTGTCTCCATGATTTGATTTTCTCCTTTCAGGATTTCTATTGGATCTTTTACACTTGTCTTCAGTTGATGTATTTAAAATCTTTTTTTAAAATTATAGTTATTTGTTTTTAATTGATTGGTGATTGCTTTACATTATTGGTTTGATTTCTGCCATACATCAACATGAATTAGTCATAGGTATACAGATGTCCCCTCTCTCTGGAAACTCCCTCCCTCCAACCCTCTAGGTGGTTACAGAGCCCACTTTGAGTTCCCTGAGCCCTACAGCAAATTTCCATTGGCTGTCTGTTTTACATGTGGAAGTTTATATGCTTCCATGCTGTTCTGTCCATTTATCTCACCCTCTCCTTCCTCTCCCTCGCGCTTGTCTGTATGTCTGTTCTCTATGTGTGTGTCTGCCTTGCTGCCCTGTGAATAGGTTCATCAGGACTTGCAATGTTTGTTTTTCTGACTGACTTCATGCTATAGAATAGGCTCTAGTTTCATTCATGTCAGAAGAATTGACTCAAATGCACTCCTTTTTATGACTGAGTAGTATTCCATTACATATATGTACCACAGCTTTTTTTCCATTCATCTGTCGATGGACATCTGGGTTGCTTCCATGTCCTAGCTATTGTAAATAATGCTGCAGTGAACACTGGGATGCATGTCTTTTTCAGGTTTGGTTTCTTCAGGGTGTATACCTAGAAATGATACTGCTGGGTCATATGGTGGTTTTATTCCTGGTTTTCTAAGGAATCTCTGTTCTGTCTTCCATGGCGGCTGTGTCAGTTTACATTCCCCATGCTTTCTCCGGCACTTGTTTGGGGATTTGTTGATGATCGCCATTCTGCCTAGTGAGGTGATACTCACTGTAGTTTTGACTTGCATTTCACTAATAATCAGCGGTGTTGAGCATCTTCTCATGTGTTTATTAGCCATCTCTCTGTGTTCTTTAGAGAAATGTCTGTTTAGGTCTTTTATCCACTTTTTGACTGGATTGTTTTTCTGGTATGAGTTGTTTGTATATTTTGGAAATCAATCCTCTGTTGGTTGTTTCATTTGCTATCATTTTCTCCCATTCTGTGGTTTATCTTTTCACCTTGTTTATACTTTCCTTTGCTGTGCAAACGCTTTTAAGTTTAATTAGGTCCCATTTGTTTATTTTTGTTTTTATTTCGATTATTCTTGGAGGTGGGTCATAGAGGATCTTGCTGTGATTTATGTCGTATAGCATTCTGCCTATGTTCTAAGAGTTTGATAGTCTGTGGTCTTACATTTAGGTTTTTACTCCATTTTTAGTCTGTCTTTATATATGGCGTGAGAAAGTGTTCTAACTTCGTTCCTTTACACATAGATGTCCAGTTCTTCAGCACCGCTTATTCAAGAGACTGTCTCTTCCCCACTGTGTATTCTTGCCTCCTTTGTCAAGGACAAGGTGCCCACGGGGGTGTGGGTGTGTCTCCGGGCTTCCTACCTTGCTCTGTTGGTCTGCGCTCTGTGCCAGCACCATGCTGTCTGATGACTCTGTGTCTGTTATAGTCTGAAATCAGGTAACTTCATTCCTCCAGCTCCGTTCTTCTTTCTCAAGATTGCTCTGACTGCTTGGGGTCTTTTCTGTTTCCATATGAATTGTGACATTTTTTTGTTCTAATTCTGTGAAAAGTGCCATTGGTAATTTGATGGGGATTGCATTGTATTTATATATTACATTGATGGTATAGTCATTCTCACAGTATTGACTCTTCCAGCCCAGGAGCATGGACTCTCCATCTGTTTGTGTGGTCTGTGATTTCTTTCATCAGCGTCTTGTAGTTTTCTGTATACAGCTCTTTTGCCTCCTTAGGTAAGTTGAGATCTATTAAATACTTTTCCTCTCTTCCTTCATTTCTTTTTGATTTTTAAAGCTTTGCCCTTTCATCTTTTATCTTCCTTCAGGCATTATCTGTGGTGGTCTTTCACTCCTGTATCTCTTGTAATCTTCATTTCTGAAATGATTTTTCTTTTTACTTCTAATTCTTTCTGAGTTCTCTTGTCTCATTTCTTCATTTTTGGTTCTGGTTTATATTACTTACCTCTTTTAGCATATTTGGAATATTATAGTTTACCTATTTTGTGGGTATTTCTGCCACATCTTTACTATCTATAGGGATGTTAGTCTCCTTTTTAAAAATAATTTTGTATGGGAGTTTCTGTTACTCATTTTTTACATGAAATTCATTTTCCTTTACTGGAGAAGGACAGGCTGACTTAGGAAAGTTTTTCTAATTTCATGGCTTTAGGTTTGCCTTTTCTCTTTATTGTGAAGTATTGAAAAAATATGGGAATTACCTTCTTATATATTCTAGTGGACCTTGTTGACTTTTATTATTTTTTAAAATTTATTTCTAATTAAAGGATAATTGCTTTTACAATATTGGTTTCATTTCTGCCATACATCAACATGAATTAGCCATAGGTATATATACGTGCCCTCCCTCCTGAAACTCCTCCCACCCTTTCACACCCCCAGGTTGTCACAGAGCCTAGTTTGAGTTCCCTGCGTCACACAGCACGTTTCCATTGGCTGTCTGTCTTAGGTGTGGTAGTCAATGTTTCCCTGCTGCTGTCTGCTTCCTCCCCTCTGCCCGTGTCCACTGCTGCCCTGCAGATAGGGTCCTCAGTGCCATCTTTCTAGATTCCACATATATGTGTTAATATGCGGCATTTGGTTTTCTCTTTCTGACCTACTTCAGCCTGTATAATAGACTCTAGGTTCATCTACCTCATTAGAACAGACTTTGATGTGTTCCTTTTCCCAACAACTTATCCTCAGTGTGGGGCGTTTTTCCTAGGTGGGAGTTTTGAGAGTTCATTTTCAGCCCCTTCAGATCTTACTGCACATTACTTGAATCACCTGCAGTTAAGAGTGGGCAGACCCGTCCACTTCCGGGTGGTTGTTCTCAAGTAAATTTGCTGAGCTTTGGAGTGAGTCTTTATGGATTACTTTGGAATTCTTAGGATCAGCACATACCCCGCTATTACTGTCAAAGAAGCTGATGCCATAGCTGCTGTCCTAGCTGTCAGTGCTGGCGGTATGCCTTCTACCTAGTTTTGTTTTCGGTGCTGTCTGCGGGTACAGGGCTTGCGGTCCTAGTAGCTCTGCCATGCTTTTATGTGTGTTTTTAGTTTAAAAAATTATGGTATTGCCATCTTCCCCAAATCACCAAATTAATGCTTCCCCAAATTAATGTTTATTTTTTCTACCTGTCATCTCTAGATCCTCAGACAGATTCTAAACTACCTGAAGGGCTGTCAGGATCTCACACAGACTGGCTCACATTAAATGTTGGAGGGCGGTACTTTACAACCACACGGTAGGTGCACATGCACGTGTGTGTCGACGTGGTACTGTCTGTTCTTTCCTTCAGATGACTGATTTCCTTAGAAGATATTCCAGTGCTGCTTAAATATTCTGTGTGATTTGAAACCAATTTTTAGAAAGTTTTTTAAGAGTAGAAAAATGGCTCATAAGTCATTCCAGAGAAGGCACAAAAAGCATGAATTTAGCATTTTTAGAATATGTTTTTAAAATATTGAGCAATATACTTGTAACACAAGTAAGAAAATTAACAACACTGAAATTTTAAGACACAACTGCTTATACTAAAGGGATAAAAACAGCCTACTTTAGAGCATGAAAATTGTGATATAGTTGCGTGCTAGAGGGATAGATTAGCATTGAAATTAAAGTCAACTAAATCAATGTTTAAATCAAAGGAAGTGCCAGATTAGAAGGGATTTTGATAAATGGCAACTTACTGCACATTTTTGTCTCCCAGCATCACTCCTCCCAGGTTATAGCATGCATCTTTTTGAGAGAGCAGCTGAGATCAAGTATACTCTTGACTTAAATATGTTTGTTTATAAAGACAAATGGAGAAATCCATTTTTTTCCCTGAATTCTTAGGAGCACTTTAGTGAATAAAGAACCCGACAGTATGCTGGCCCACATGTTTAAGGACAAAGGTGAGTGCAGTCCATAATTTTACCATTTTTCGTCTGTAGCTGTATTGACTTTATAAACTCCTGTCCTTTTGTACTTTTTAATGGTATTGGTAATAATCTGTACAAGAGTAAAAACATACTGGTATGCTACACAGTTTGCTTCCTATAAATTTCTGACTTTATTTTTTGCTTATGGGGGGGTGGCTATCTTCATTTTGTTGGCCCCACAGGTGTCTGGGGAAATAAACAAGATCATAGAGGAGCTTTCTTAATTGACCGAAGTCCTGAGTACTTTGAACCCATTTTGAACTACTTGCGTCACGGACAGCTCATTGTCAATGATGGGATAAATTTATTGGGTGAGTTTTCAATGCAATTCCTTATATTTTTGTAAGTTTATGATTTATACTTTCTTTTTAACTAGCTAAGTATAATGTATTTTCATCAAGTAAAATTATCTTTTTCATTTTTAAAACTAAATGCTTTTACGTGTATTACGAGTATATACAGTTACAGAGGTATAGCCACAGGTAAATGGCTTTTCACGTGTGTATATAACCCATGAATTCCAATTTTGGATTCTAAATAGAATTTATCAGTAAGCCCTCTAAAGCACTTTACTATTTTAACATTTTTATCTATTTACTTGTTAAGCTGTCCTTTCTTTTTGGCTGCATTGGGTCTTCGTTGCTTTGTGCAGGCTTTCTGTGGTTGTGGGGAGCAGGGGCTACTCTTGTTGCAGTGTGTGGGCTTCTCGCTGTGGTAGCTTCTCTTATGGGGGAGCGCTGGCTTCAGTAGCTGTGGCACTTGGCTTTAGTTGCTTCATGGCACATGAAGGCTTCCTGGACCAGGGATCGTCCCCTGCATTGGCAGACAGATTACCCACATTGCCACCATGGAAGTCCCTGTTGTTTTTAAAATGGCATTATGAGTGCGACTTGGATTCGAGTTATGGACCTTCCCATTATGTTGAGAAGTAAGGTCAAGAGAGGAAATTGTACTTTGGAATCATAGGACTGGATTAGAATCTTGATTCTACAACTTACTACAAGATTAACCTGGGGACAGTCTGAGTCTCCTTTGAAAACTGTTAAAAATATTCTCACCTCAGGACTTCCTTGGTGGTCCAGTGGTGAAGACTTTTTCTTTCAGTGCAGGGGCTGTGGGTTCAGTTCCTGGTCAGGGAATTAAGAATGCTGCACTGCATGGGTGGGACAAAAAAATGTAAAAAAACACTCATCCCTGCCTGCATAGTGAGATTTCTGTTAACGTTCATGATGACAGTGAACATGAGGTTCCTTGTAAAGCAGTTCACAGGCCTCCTCAAGGGAGAGAAGCCAGTCTATCCTGTGGAGTGGTAGGGAAGGTGGTGATCTTAGGGCAGTCTGTTGTCAGGGAGATGTGTACACTTAACGTTCCAGAGCTGTGATTTTTAAAGAAAAATGGAAAATCTAATGTTTTATGTAAGATCTTCTGACTTTTAAAATGCTACTCCAAAAAAATAAAGTAAAATGCTACTCCGCAAACACGTCAGAATCAGCCTGGGGGCTGCGAGCTGACGATCCCAATGTTGCTGAAGGGCTCGGGAGTTGAACACGTGGACTGGAGTCAGGCAGCTGCTGTTCAGTCACTGAGTCGCGTCTGACTCTTCACGGCTCCATGGACTGCAGCGTGCCAGGCTTCTCTCTGCTTCACTGTCTCCCACAGTTTGCTCAGACTCATGTCCTTTGAGTCAATGCAATCCTACCATCTAATTCTCTGTCGCCTCTTTCGCCTCCTCAATCTTTCCCAGCATTAGGGTCTTTTCCAATGAGCAGGCCCATTGCATCAAGTGACCAAAGTATTGAAGCTTCAGCATCAGTCTTTTTTGAATATTCAGGGTTGATTTCCTTTAGGATTGACTGATTTGATCTCCTTGCTGTCCAAGGGACTCTCAAGAGTCTTCTCCAGCACCACAGTTTGAAAACATCAATTCTTCGGCGCTCAGCATTCATTATGGTCCAACTCTCACATCCATACATGACTATTGGAAAAACCATAGCTTTGACTATACAGACTTCTGCCAGCAAAGAGATGTCTTTGCTTTTTAATATGCTGTCTAGGTTTGTCATAACTTTTCTTCCAAGGAGCAAATGTCTTTTAATTTCATGGCTGCAGTTAGCGTCCACAGTGATTTTGGAGCCCAGGAAATAAAATCTGTTTGTATGAAATGGTGGGACTGGATGTCACGATCTTAGTTTTTTGAATGTTAAGATTAAAGCTAGCTTCTGTACTCTCCTCTTTCACCCTCATCAGGAGGCTAATTAGTTCCTCTTTGCTTTCTGCCATTAGTATGGTATCTGAGGTTGTTGATATTTCTATTGGCAGTCTTGATTCCAGTTTGTGGTCATCTGGCCTGACATTTTTCATGATGTACTCTGCATAGGATAAACAGAGTGACAATATACAACCTTGACGTATTCCTTTCCCAGTTTTCAGGCAGTCTGTTGTTTCATGTCGGGTTCTAACTTGCTTCTTGACCTGCATTCAGGTTTCTCAGGAGGCAGGTAAGATGGTCTGGTATTCCCATCACTAAGAATTTTCCACAATTTGTTGTGATCCACATAGTCAAAGGCGTTAGTATAGTTGGTGACTTTTTTTTTTTTTTAATTCCCTTGCTTTCTCTATGATCCATCAAATGTTGGTAATGCAATGTCTGGCAATTCCTCTGCCTTTTCTAAACCCAGCTTGTACATCTGGAATTTCTAGGTTCATATACTGCTGAAGCCTAGCTTGAAGGATTTTGAGCATAACCTTACTAGCATGTGAAAGGAGTGCAATTGTCCAGTAGTTTGAACATTCTTGGGCACTGCCCTTCTTTGGGGTTGGAATGAAAACTGACCTTTTCCAGTCCTGTGGCCACTGCTGAGTTTTTTCAGATTTGCTGGCATATTGTGTGCAGCACTTTTACAGCATCATATTTTAGAATTTGAAATAGCTCAGCTGGAATTCCATCACCTCCAGTAGCTTTGTTTGTAGTAATGCTTCCTAAGGCCCACTTGACTTCACACTTAAGAATGTCTGTCTGTAGGTGAGTGACCACACCATCATGGTTATCTGGGTCATTAAGACTTTTTTTGTATAGTTGCTCTGTGTATTCTTGCCACCTCTTAATCTCTTCTGCTTCTGTTAGGTCCTCACCATTTCTGTCCTTTATTTTGCCCATCCTTGCATTAAGTGTTCACTTAGTATCTCCGGTTTCCTTGAAGAGATCCTAAGTCTTTCCCATTCTATTGTTTTCCTCTGTTTATTTGCATTGTTCTTGTAAGAAGGCCTTCGTTTTCTCTCCTTGTTGTTCTCTGGAACTCTGCATTCATCTGGGTATATTGTTCCCCTCTCCTCTGCCTCTCGCTTCTCTTCTTGCCCAGCTGTTTGTAAATCCTCCTCAGACCAACACTTTGCCTTCTTGCATTTCTTCTTCTTTGTGATGGTTTTGCCCACGTCTTCCTGCACAAACCTCCATCCATAGTCCTCCAGGCTCTCTGTCTACCAAATCTCATCTCTTGAATCTATTTGTCACCTTCACTGTATAATCATAAGGGATTTAATTTAGGTCATACCTGAATGGCCTATTGGTTTTCCCTACTTTGTTCATATAAGTCTGAATTTTGCAATAAAGAGCTCATGATGTGAGCCACAGTCAGCCCCAGGTCTTGTTTTTGCTGACTCTATAGAGCTTCTTTATCTTTGGCTGCAAAGAATATAATCAATCTGATTTCATTGACCATCTGGTGATGTCCATGTGTAAAGTCATCTCTTGTGTTGTTGGAAAAGGGTGTTTTGCTATGACCAGTGTGTACTCGTGACAAAAGTCTGTTAGTCTTTTCCCTGCTTCATTCTGTACTCCAAGGCCAAATTTGCCTGTTAACTCCAGGTATCTCTTGACTTCCTACATTTGCATTCCAATTCCCTATGATGAAAAGGGCATTTTTTTTTGGTATTAGTTTTAGAATTCTTGTAGGTCTTCATAGAACCCATCAAATTCAGCTTCTTTGGCATCAGTTCTTGGGGCATAGACTTGGATTATTGTGATGTTGAATGGCTTGCCTTGGAAACCAACCAAGATCTTTCTTTAATTTTTGAGATTGCACCTAATTACTGCATTTCGGACTCTCTTGTTGACTACGAGGGCTAATCCATTTCTTCTCAGGGATTCTTCCCCTCAGTTGTAGATGTGATGGTCATCTGAATTAAATTCTCCCATTCCAGTCCATTTTATTTCACAGACTCCTCTGATATATCGATATTTACGCTTGCCTTCTCCTTCTTGATCACCTCTAATTTACCTTGATTCATGGATCTAACATTCCAAGTTCTTATGCAGTATTGTTCTTTATAATGTTGGACTTTACTTTCACACCAGACACATCCACAACTGAGCATTGTTTTTGCTTTGGCCCAGCTGCTTCACTCTTTCTGGAGCGATTGGTAATTAATTGCCCTCTGCTCTTACCCAGGAGCGTAATAGGACATCTTCTGACCTGGGGGGCTCATCTTCGGGTGTTATGTCTTTTTGTCTTTTCACACTGTTCATGAAGCTCTTGCAACAAGAATCCTGCAGGACTTTGCCCTCCCTCCTCCGGTGGACCGCATTTGGTCAGAACTCTTCACTGTGACCCATTCCCCATGATAAGACTGTGATCCATAAAGGGGCACAAACTCTATAATGAAATACAAAACACTCAATAACTTGCAGTGTTGTCATATTAAATTTACATTGCCTTAAAACTTACCTACCCAAAGCCAGTGTTCTGTGACAACCTGGAGGGATAGGGTAGGGAGGGAGCTGGGAGGGGGATTCAAGATGAAGGGACCAGTGTATACCTGTGGCTGACTCATACTGATGTATGGCAAAAACCATCAAAACATTTGTAATTATCCTCCAATTAGAATAAATTAATTAAAAGATGATACGGGTTGACCCTTTCATCTAGCTCCACAATGACTCATATTCCTCTTGTTCCTCTTATTCTTTACCTTCTACCAATGATTGCTCTAAGCTTCTAGCCTATGTTTCATTTCAGCCATTCTGCTGTAATAATTACTGTAAAAATTAACAGTGATCTATGCTTATACAAATCCTTATCTTTTCACCACCTGTATCCCTCTGCCACTTTTCACTTAATGGGCGCCCTCTCCTCCTGAGAACATTTAAACTTCAGCTTTATATGGCCAGTGGGCTCTTTTATATTTCCCACTTTAATTTTTCCCTATGTCATTGATAGCATTTCATATCCTACCCGCCTAGGAAATTACATTGGAGGTGTAAATATTTCCGTGCTCCCTCAGACCTCAGCAAGGCAGGCTGTTCCCAAGCTGG